TTCAGTCTAAACATGATTAACAAACTTGCCAGGGTTTATTAGAGCATTGACATGCAAGTTTTGAGTGAGTTTTGACAAGTTTTAAGTCACACTTTGCTCATGCTGCAGGTGTGCATGAATTCATCTCAAATTGCATTATTCACCCTCCTTCAGAATTCAAAAAGCTTCTCCTATAAATAAGGGAATCATTCCACTCATTTTCACAAGCTTGGATAGCCAGAATCACCCTGTTGAGATCTCATTTGAGCTCTTAAGCTTGAACTTTAAATTTTCATTTTCACACCCTAATCACTCAAATTCTCCATTCAATTAGCTTCACCAATACTCAATGAAGCTAACCAGCTCAAGAACTTGAAGGATCGCGACCTGAATCAAGCTTGAGGACTCCATTTTTAGAGCTTCAAATTTGAACTTCAACATGTACAATTCTTTACCATTTTGACTCAAATTTGTTGCTAAGATGTAGTCCTTAATGTGTTGATGTTGTTAGGATTGTTAGATTTTAGTTTTGGTTGAGTTTTGATGTTTAATTTTCAAATCCTTGTTTGCTTTTTCTTTTGATTTTTTTCAAATCAAGTGAGCTATGATTTAAAGAAATATGGCGCGATGATATGGTTGAGATCGTCTTGAAAAGACGTATCAGATGAAACCACTATGAGCTCCAATGGTTATGGTTTGGTGGATCTTCGCATTTCTGCATTTCTCTGAGATTTACAAGTGGCTGGAGGTTGAAGATGATGATTTCACCGTCCATCATGCCACTTGTTCTAATCATGTGTGCTTGACCTTTTTTGTTTGGAAATGATGAGGTTGACTCAGATCCACCGTGGATGCACGCTTTCTGGCCTTTGGATTAGCCACGTAATTTAATGAAGTGAGATCCAACACATCTTATTTTTTCTATTTTATTTTCTTTTTCTATTTTAATTTTATATTCATTTTATTTTCAGGAATTCATAGAAAATTCATTTATAATCAGAAAAATACCAAAATATTTTCTAAAATTTCCTTTTATTTTTCTCTTTCTAATTTTTATTTTTGTGCATTTTTATTTTTCCATTTGTTATTTTTCTTGAATTTTAATTTGTTTGAGCCAATTTTAATTAGTTTAAAATTATATTTAAACATTTTAAAATTATGAGAAAAATATCATGTGATTCTATGATGGTTTTGAATCTATGGTGATTTTCTTTGATTTTTATTTCTAGTTTTGCTATTTTCCATGTATTTTTATATTAATTGGTTTAAAATTGTTTTTGAGCCATTTAAAATTATGAGGAAATTAGTACATGATCCTATGATGGTTTCTGACCTATGGTGTTTTTCTTGGATTTTTGTTTATGGCTTAACTAATTTCCATCTTTTTTTTATAGATTTTATTTGCCTTTTTATTTATTTTTTTATTTGATTTTAAATTGTAAAAATGATGTGATTTTGTTTTTAATCCATGATTGGGTGCCTTTCTGTTTTTCTTCAAGTCATTTGAGACATGGATGTTCGTTTGATGGTTGTTTCCCTTTTGTGATTGTTTTGGTTGATGGATTCCTCTTGAGGCATGTTATTGGTTTCAACTTGTATGTTCTTTTTTTTTAATGTTTATGATTGAATGTTAAAATTGTTGATCAAGTTGATGTGTGGTTTCACCTTAGTTTCATGTCATGTTTTTGTGCCTTTGCCTTTGGGATGTTTGCTTTGCATACTTGTTTTGTGTTAGCATGTGGTTTGCTTTTGAATGATATGATTGACTTGTTTCTTGATGCTCTCTCTTTGATCATTGGTATGATTTAAGTATGATGTGTTGTGCTACTGCCATACCATATTTCTTGTGCCGTTTTAATTTCATTTCATCTTGATTTGTGATTGATGATGCTTATTGATGATGTTTAGATATGTGTGGGCACTTTGTTTTGCCATTGTGTTTTTTGTTTGCAAACCTTTTGACATGGTATGAGCTCTTTCTTATTGCTTTAATATGTGGTAATGTTTACCATGTGTGATCATTGATTGATATTTTCTTGATGCCTTGCCTTTGAACTTTCATGTATGTTCTTCATCTGGCATTCTTTCTTTCTTTTTCATCTTTCTTCTCTTTTTGGAACTTGTTTAAGTTTCATTCTTGTTTTCATTTGTGATTGAATTATATGGTGTTTACTTGTGTTTGCTCACATGATCCCTTAGGATTCCTAGTTCCACTTAATTTACGATTAAGATAAAAGTAGGAAAGATATTAGGCTTTCAATTCTTTGCATGATAGCAATTAGGATAGCCCATTTTACCTCAACTTTAGGTCCATCATTTGTATGATAACATTAGGTAGACTTCCCTTTCATCCTAACCTTAGGACCATTTTGCATGACAGCATTAGGGTTTTTCAATTTTCCCTTAGTGTTTTCTTTTGTGTCTTCTCTTCTCATCTCAAACAATCTTGAGACACTTAATAAAGAATGATGAACGTTGTGAGCCACGAGCCTTAAGTATATGGGAAATGATGAGTTGAGGGTTTCTCTTCACTTGTCTAGAGTGTTTAGTGTATGCTTTTTGGGCGATATACGACACATTCGCTCCTATGTCATAGTCTTTAGTGCAACGTGAATCTCAAACAAATTCAATTCACTTCATTAAACCTCTTAAACCAAATTCAAACTTTTTTATCCTTCGGGATTGGTCTTAAATCATTTTTAGAAAAGAGTGCGTTGTTTTTCTGTTCTATCACAAACAGACATCGACCCTAGCTGTTGGAATGGGAACTTAAAGTCGCTAAAAAAACACTTAACCAACTAGTGATCTAGTTTACCCGAACTACGTTTGCTCTAATTTCTCATACCAGATGAGGATACATAGGCACAAGACGGCGATGTCTTGGCGAGCAACCTTCCCCCCATCACCCGTTGTTTTTCGAACTATGTTGACTCTGACTTTTCCATTGCACGAGAGAATACGTAGGCATAGGGCGGCGATGTCTTATCGAGTCTTCTTTTTCTCTTCCTTCCCCCGTTTAGCAGTAGCTTTTAGATAACTCACCCTTTTTTATAGACAACAAGCATGGATCCCGTTGACTACAACGCACGTGAGGGGTGCTCATACCTTCCCCTTACATAACCGACTCCCGAACCCAAGATTTGGTTGCGATGACCTTGTCTTTTCCAGGTTATATGCTTTAAATATCTTGCGTTTATAATAAAAAATAATGGATAAATGAAAGAGAATATAAAGCATCGTATTCAAGACGAGTTACTAAAATGAAGGAGGGATTCAAAGGTTTTATATGACACAAAGGTACTGCTCAAGCTGAAAGGAAAATTTTATTGGACTACGGTAAGACCTATGATGTTGTATGAGATAAAACGTTGGCGCTTAAGAATCAACATGAGAATAAAGTTAATGTAGCAGAGATGAAGATGTTGCGTTGGATGTGTGGTAAGACTATAAAGGATAAGATTAGAAATGAAAATATTAGAAAGAGTGTTGGGGTAACACCTATAGTAAAGAAGACGGTGGAAAATAGACTTAGATGGTTTGGGCATGTAGAGAGATGACATGTAAATTCTGTGATAATGAGAGTAAATTTGTCAGAGAGAAGTCAAACAATTAGAGAAAGAGAAAGATCTAGAAATACTATAAAAAAATATTTAAAAAGATCTCGAGATTAACTATTTGAATAGAAACATGGTTATGGATAGAACATTATGTGAAAGTTGATCCATGTAGCCAACTCTACTTAGTGAGATGAGGTTTGGTTGTTGTTGTATTAAAAATTCAAATAGTTTTTCATAAAAATAATTTTTAAAATACATTTTTTTGAAAATTTGGGATTCTAACTATGTTATAATCTTCAATAATGTAATATTTATGTTATAAGATGTCAACAATTAGTCCTTTAGTTTATAAATTACAAATTAAAAAAATTAATATTTTAAATATTTTTTATAAATATTAATTTTGAAAATTAAAAAAAAAACTATTTTTTTAAAACTAAAAGCAATGCGCCCATAATGACCATAAATTATGCTTTTCATTATTCTATAAAATATTTTTTTTTTCAAAAATTAATCAAAATAGCAATTTCTTTTAAATCTAAAATTATTTTTAATTTTTTTCACACAAAGATAACTTATACATTAAAAATATATATATATTTTTTAAAATCCAACTATAAATTTATTTTCAAAGATCTATGTTGCCAACTTCTTTGGCCACCTACTTACATGTGCCTCTACTTACAAACCGGAATCAAATGAAATTTATAATACTTAAACTTGAAAAAAAAAGTGATGCTTAGTATAAAATAATATTCCATCAAGGTCCTTCTGGATGATTGTTTATTTTATAATCCAATTGATAAAAGAAATGATTAATTAACAAATAATTCAATTAATCTTACCGGTATATTTCCAACAAAAATATAAAGAAAAGTAATAAATATTGAGGGTTTCCTTGCTTTACAGTCAACTGCATCAAACCTTCATCAATATGTTGAGAATATAAAATCATGATGAAAGCATATTGTTCTTTCCTCTTTAATTTTAAGACAAGATCTTTCCCTAAAATAGCGTAATAATAATTAAGTTATTAAAGTGAGAAAATAATTGAAGGGATCTGATTCTCCCTAATCTTGCAAATTTACTATTCTCAGTAAATATAATGAGAGAATATTAATTTTCAATCATATGCACACATAAAGTTCATAAAAGATGCTTGATTATTTTGTACATTTTCATATATTTTCAAGCATTAATAACTTTTTTTGGTTATTTCTGTTTTAATCTAAACATTACTAAGCAAAATTAGACAAAACAATTATTAACTTTTGTACCTGATCTAAAATTTAATAAGGTTAAATCGTAGTTAAAAAACATCTCATAATATATTTGTTACGGTTAAACTATTATTTATTTATTTTGCTCTAATTAGATTAAAAGATTTAACTTTAAGATGTCTCTAATTATTGATAACAAACATTCATAAATTCAAGTTTAATCATTTCTGAAAGTCACATTCAACTAGTAATACTCCCACGAAGAAAAAAATTGCTCATCGAGCCAAGAAGAAGAATAAGAAACAAGTCCATTTTTTCCATCAGGGAAAAGATCCGGTAGATCAAAGAGTGTATCATCATTATCATCATCATTTGTAGTAGTAGTAGTAGAAGAAGAAGGAGAACTAGAATTAGACTCTTGAACATTCTCTATTGAACTTGAAACTTGATCTTGACCATTTTCACCTTGGCAAGAATCCTTAATTTCCACAAAAACCATAGCTGCTGCTTTAGAAGCTGCAACTTGAATATCTTTAGGTGATGTTGTTGAAGGCCTTGGAAGATTTTGAGCCAACTTAGGGAAATTGAGGTATGCTGAATGACCCTTTATGGCTAAAGCAGCTACATCATGAGCTCTAGCAGCCATTTCAGCTGTAGGGTATGTTCCAAGCCATATTCTTGATTTCTTTCTTGGCTCTCTGATCTCAGATACATATTTTCCCCATGCTCTCATTCTTACTCCTCTATATGTAGGGTGTTTTGTGTCATTTTCATTGTTTCTCTCTCTTTTTTTACACTTAGTTTGAGGACTGTTTTTGGTGTTATGATTGATGAAAGAGTTTGAGTTTAAAGATGTTGGTGTGGAGGGTGATGAGGATGTGCTAAAGAAATTTTTATTAGCATCATTTTCCATGTTGATATGAAAAAAAGAATGAGTGTGGAAGGTGCATAAAAATAGAGGTGTGTTTGTCTTTTACTATGATTCTCTAAAAAAAGAAATTGGATTTATATAAAGAAAAAAAAGAAGAAAAGAATAAAGAAAAGAAAAGAAAAGAAACAAAAGCAAGAAAAATGAAGGAATATAAAACATGGGCTCCATAGGGGTACAATTATGTTACTTTGTTTCCCATGTTGAAGTTGAAGAGCATGACTAAGATGTACTATTGTATAAAAGATGAATACCAATGCTTTTTATTTTTTGAGGTCTTTTGTCAATATACGTATTCCCTATGTTTCACATGTTTTGGCATTCTTGGTCTTACTTTTTAAGAACCTTGATTCTATGGGTTTTTAAAAAGAGTAGTATTATTTGGAGAGCTGTTAAATGTAGTCATTGTAATGGTTGAGATTGTTTTTTTTTTCTTTTCAACTAGTGAGCATTGAATATTGTGAAATTTATTTATTTTAATAATATTTTTGTGAGTCATATCACATATTCACTCAAAACTTTAAGATGATAAGTTTGTGGATTCTCCCACTTATAAATACTCAAGTCTCTGTGAATCACACCACATACTCACTCAAAACTTTAAGATAATAAGTTTGTGGATTCTCCCACTTATAAATGCTCAAGTCTCCACATTCCTAATCAATATTTGAATTTCTAGAGTGTGATCTTCTTAAAAATTTTAAGTTTGAATCTAGCTATACGTACAACATTTTTCCTCTTTTGACAACAACTGAAAAGTGTTGCGAGAATTTAGAAAAATGTTGCCTAAAAGAATAGGGAACATTTTTCAAACGTCCTCTGTGCGAGCGTTGCCTATTATTTAATGGAACATTTTTGTCGCCTTTTGGGACAACTTTCCTAAAACGTCCCCTAAACTATAGGAATGTTGTTCCTATTGACCATAAACATGCTTAAATGAAAACATGTGTGTCGTCGGAGGAAGAAAGAACCTGAAAATCAATTAAAAAGAACCCAATTAAATACAATTAGTATTTCCAGTTACGAGTAGTTACAGATTTCAATACAGGAACAAGAACGATTTCAACTCTGAGATAAATTGATTTCGAGTGGCTTTAGATCAGGAACAAAAACGATTTCGACTTTGAAAGAACTTGATTTCGCTTCATGGCTTCAAAACACAAACAAAAACGATTTCAGCTCTTAGAGAAGTCGATTTCGGTTCATCACTTCGAAATAGGAACAAGAACCATTTTACCTCTTAGAGAAATCGATTGAAATTCTAAGAAAAATCGAATTCAATTATGAGAAGATATAAATTAAGAGAAATCAATTTTGACTATGAGAATTTCAAATTTTCACCTTAAGTGGAATGAATTTGTATTTCTATGTTTAATATGTGAGTGACAGCTTCAAATGAGGACCCAAAGAAAAGGGTTTCTCCTATAATTAAAAAAATGTTTATTCCAAATAAAAAATAATACTAATAGTAAGATTTTCTAAAGAAGTAATACGTGATATTTTTTTTTAAGTTTTTGTATTTTGGTTTTAGCGAGCATTGTATCAGGAGAATATGTTTTCTTATTTTAAAATTTAATAAATATTGATTATTAGCTATTTTTATTCATTAAATATGACAATATGTAATATGACTATATATATATATATATATATATATATATATATATATATATATATATATATATATATATATATATATATATATATATATATATATATATATATATATATATATATATATATATATATATATATATATATATATATATATATATATATATATATATATATATATATATATATATATATATATATATATATATATATATATATATATATATATATATATATATATATATATATATATATATATATATATATATAATATTTTATTTATAATATTTATTTTATATATTTAAAGATTAAATTTTAGCCAAAAATTTCCCGAATAAATCTTTATAGGTTTGGAGGAAAGATATTTGCCAAAATTTTCAAAATTTTCAATAATAGATAAAAATTTTAAGCAACGCTTCACAAATGTAATTATTTTAAAAAATCATGCAACAATTAAAAATTGTTCACATAAATGCTTACGGTGCATTTATCAAATATTGTTAAATATTTCTTTTATAACATTGTAAAATCGACCCATAGAGAGTTTATGGGATGATTATGTGATGTTGCTTTTATATTGTTGACAATAAGTACAAATTGTTGCCAAAAAATAGTGAAAAATAGTGTTAGACAATAATTTTCACATGTTGCAAAAAAACATATTGCAAGAGGTAACAAATGTTTAGTGTGTTAACAATTTTTGTGTTGAATTAATTCATATTGAATTTTATTTTAACTTTAATTATTAATTTCACTAGAAAAAGCAACATTGATCTTTTTTAGATTAGTCAGTCGTAAAATCGAATATTAAAATTTAAAAAATAAATAAATTAGAGTCATTTTAACTATCATGTTAATCTATTAGTAAAACTTGAGTGTTGAAAGTCTCCCCCGTTAAAGTCACAACTCTTGTTATAAATGTGATCCTAATTGGTGAAAAGTGAAATGAAATATATTATTTGAATTCGTCTATAAATAAATTATCATCTTCAAAGAAATTATTTTTTTTAAATTATTTTTTATATAAAAGTAGTTATTTAAATTTTTTTATGAAATTTATTATCAATAAAATATAGGAACTATATTATTATAAGTATAATGTATTTTAGTATTATAATATTTTTAAAAAATTTAAATACAATAAAGTTTGAAATTATTTAACATAATAAATATTCAACATAAACAAATCAAAAGAATACGAAAAAATTGTGAATTAAAACATAAAATAATTCAATATTAAATTTTAATATTATTGTATAATATCTAACATAAAAATATAGAATATAATACAACAACAATAATTGAGTTTTATTCCATTAAATGAAATCGATTATATGAATCAACTTCCACCATAATATTCTATTAATGACTATGCTTTAACACAAATCATTAATATCAAAATCTTTCTTAATAATTTTCTTTATAGTTTTTTTAAACCCTCCTTTTAGATGTTTGACTTTTCTTTATCTAATATATTCTACTTACTATAAAGTCTATAAGTTTTCTATCTACATGCTCAAACCACATATGTCTATTTTTCACTATCTTTTTTACTATGAGTGATATCCTAGTACTCTCTCTAATATTAATATTTCAAATCTTACAATGTTTAGTCTTACCAAACATCCAATGCAACATCTTAACCTCTGATATACTTTTTTTTATTCTCGTGTTGATTCTTAATCGCCTAATACTCTGTCTCGTACAACATCACAGACCTTACCACAATCCGATAAAAATTTTCTCCTCAACTTGAGCAGTACAATTGAGTTACATAAAATTTCTAAAGCTCTCCTCCATTTCAGTCATCCAACATGAATTTGATGGTTTAGATCCCTTTTTACTTCTTCATTGTTTTGTATTACGAACTCAAGATATTTAAACTTTGTGACATGTGGGATTATATGATCTCTAGCTTTTATTTATAGGTTATAAACACTTCTCATTTTGTTGAACTTACATTTCATATACTCCATCTTACTTCTATTCTGACAAAAGACATACATTTCTAAAACTCGTCTCTAAATCTCCAACTACTTATTTAAATGTCTTCCTTCGACTCTTCAAATAGTACTATATCATTTGTAAGAAGCATGCATCTCAACGATATCTCTTGAATGTGTTTTGTTAGTACATCTAAAATTAAAATAAAAAATTAGAGATTTAAGGTTGAACCTTGGTACAAACCTATTGTAATAGAGAAATCACTCGTCTTTCTACTCTATGTCTGCACGTGAGTCGATACTCTTCATATGTATTTTGGATAATTCAGATATATGCAATTCTAACCCCTTTTTTTCTAAAACTTTTCACAAAATTCTTCTAAACACTATTATTATATGTTTTCTCCAAATCGATAAAAATTAAGGACAAATTTTAATGTGTTGTTTTTTAGTACGAACAATATAAATTAGTATTAATGAATAGTTCACATAATAATTGATCTAAATCTTTGATTTGAGATTGAGAGATTCAGATAACTCGTTCATTAACAAAAATTAAATTTTACTATTTATTGATTTGATTTGAGATGAGACGACCAAACTCAATGAATATGTATAAATATGTATAAATATTTTAGTGGAGGAACTCAAATATACTTTTAGAGCAGCCTGTCCTTAGTTAGTTTCCTCTATGTGTGGTCATGCTTTACTTTCATAACCATGAATTTCACATGTATTACACAATAATAAGCCTTTATAATTTTGACCATTGCTTTTTTTGGGTGCCCAGCTGGGTCCAGTTTGATATCAGATCCAAAAATATAATTAATATAATGTTCTTCTCTTTTTTATTCTTGGCCATGTGTTTATAACTTTAAATTAAGTTAGTTTAGCATAAAATGTCACTGCCTTCTTAAAGTTATCATTTTTATATTATGAGCTTTTTGTTGTGTCTTCTTCCACTTGACTATGTTTTATAACTTAACCTATAATCACAAGTTTCCTAAGAGATTTTTCCAACTCAGAAGTATTAGTAGCCCATCTTTCTCTGCTTTTCATACGAGTTTATTAATTGTTTTTCTTCATAAAACTAATGATTTTCTATAGAAACAAATTGAAAAATGTAGAGAAAAAGTTTTAGATTGTTTAATCAAATTTCTAAATCATTTTCTCCTTTCTATAATATTATTAAAACAAAAGTATCAATTATAAATATTCTTCTAATTATTTTTTTTATTTCTTTTTCTTCAAATATAATAACAACTAAGTCTTATCTCATTTAATGAGACCGATTATATGAATCAAATTACATTATAATGACATTGAAAGTGTCATTGTAAATGATGATAACGCTCTAAGTGAAGATGTTAATGACATTGAATATGTCATTGAGAAAGATGATGAAGCTATAAGTGAATATGTTAGTCA